CTTTGCAGTCGTTCTCTTATCCTCTACAACTTGACCCTACCTTCAAAAGGAATTCATGTTTGTAGCCTGGCATGCTGTAATGTCTGCCCTTCTGTTCTCTCTTCTCTTGTCCTTGTAATGCTTACTTGCACAGGATAATTGTACCAGCAAGGTAAACCCTTTGACAGCTAAACCACTAACCTGTCATTCATCCCATGAGACAGATTTGACAGCCTTTGGTCATGTGCAGCAATGAAGTTGCAGATATTTAGCTGGTATCAGTTTTATCACTTTAAACCTTAAACCCTCAATCCCTGCACAAGAGCAAATGCATGTCAAATTAACTCTCTCCTCATTTTACCTGACATATTGACCCTTACACATAAGGATCTTTTTTTTTTTCTATTACAACATAATATTGCACAGCCTCCAGTCGCTTCCATAATTTGTACATCATTACATCAGCTCATTTTTACTCGTATATAAATGTATTTATTTTTTTGCTTACCGCAGAGCAAGAAGAAGAAGAAGAGTGATTTCATCCCATACAGGGACTCTGTTCTGACATGGCTGCTGAGGGAGAACCTCGGTATGAATATTAGTATCACTTGATTAATTGACGTTACTATGTGACAATAGTGGTTTGCCAGTAAATTACGTATGAAAAGCCAGAGAAATTGAGCCATTTGCATAATGGAATATGCTGTCAGGATTGAAAAAAAGAAAAGACTTGAAATAGTCTACATTGCACTCAGGAAGTTTTAAGAAGAGCATAGTCGGCTCACCTCCTTGGTCCAGACGTGTCACAAAAAGTGCGCAGTGTATCTTAGATTTAGCCTAATGAAGCTCTTGATTACACAAAAAATGTATTTCATTTGACGAGCTTTTAAAAAGTGTTGTATTTTCATAGAAATTCTATGTGCCTTTGGTCATGTTTGGTCCTCAATGCTTATCTGACATCTCTACTGATCTTTTATCAGGTGGGAACTCCAGAACAGCCATGGTAGCTGCCCTCAGTCCTGCAGACATAAACTACGATGAAACCCTCAGCACTCTGCGGTAAGCTTTCTGTCCTGGAGGAAGATTGTGATTGTGATTGTTTGAATTACACTTAAAATTATTTGTTTTATTATGTTTTTTTAGCTATGCTGACCGCGCCAAGAACATCAAATGCAATGCTGTCATCAATGAGGATCCCAACAATAAGCTGGTGCGCGAACTGAAGGATGAAGTGGCCCGGCTGAAGGAACTGCTCCGTGCCCAGGGCCTGGGAGACATTCTGGACAGTGAGTTTTATGCTGTCTCAGCTGGTCGTATCTGCAGCCAGCGACCTTCTCTGTCAGGGCCCACCACAAACTGGCAACGTCTTCTATCTTCATTACTGTCTCGTTACTCTCAGCCATCTAACGTTTTCATCTCAGTGCTTGTACTTGTGGCTGGTACATCACTAAAAACAAAGAATGAAGCAGCTTTTAACAAGTTTACCTCAATAAAGGTTTATTATGCCTCAGTGCAGTCATGTATAGAAGGTCAAATATATAGTATATTTAAGGTTGTATGTGTTTGACTGATTGTGTTTGACAACACATGTAGTCACTCAAAACTGCACTAAAATATCATTTGCTATATGCAGGAGTAATGGCTCATAGCCTTGTCAATTAGATACATAATATACCCATTAATGACTTCTAATAGCTGAAGTGATGAATAACCTGACTACTTGCTAATGCCTGCATAGATCACGTCTAATAGCGTAGCACTTAGCAAGACATATCGTGACGTTTCTTCTCAGCTTTGTTATTGTTTATCCAGCCCCCCCAAAAAAAACAAACATAAAAAATATCTGTTCCTCCTATTCTACTGGTGCTGACCTCTGACCCTTCTCATCTTTTCCTGCTTCCCCTCAGTTGATCCTATGGGGGATGATTGTCCAGGAAGTGGAATCAAATGTGTGTATATGTGTGGTAGACTTGCACTGTATATCACTATTTGCCCTAATTATAGTAGCTAACATTGCTTATGAACCCCATTACCTGTATATTGAATCTGCTACCAGCTTTGCATGTAAGTGCCTTTGTTTTTTTTAAAAAAAGCAAAAGCTTAATAGAGTCCCAGAAATGCAAGGTTTCCATAGGTGTTCTTATAACTGGCAAGAGTAAGCATGGCAGTAGGTTAGCATGCTTTGCGCTTTATTGTTATTTTTTTGTTACGTTTTTCAGAATGACAGGGGGGGGAGGCAGCTACTTACAGGCTCAGATCCATTTTAGAGTAGCCCTTTAGTTTTCCCTGGCCTCAAAATGCAAATGCATCGTTTCATAATAATGTCTCACTACCTATGACTCGCACTCTTTAAGCTCATTTTAATCCCGGTTATTCGTTCTGCTTTTTATTTTGTTTTCTTTCACTAATCATCCCCAGCAGGTGACGGTGCCCAAAGCTTTAAAATGCCCCTTCTGAGTTCTCAAACTGAGGCTCAGAGCTACAGACGGAAAGGTGCTTAATTTTTGTATTTCTATATAGAGGCACCAGAGGTGTTTGTGTAAAGATTTGACTAACTTTGTGCACTTTAGTAGTTAGTAGAGTGACTAGTTTGCTAGTGTGCTTTCTGTTGTATTCTCAAGCATCCCTAACATCTTAACCTTAAAAATGTTTCTGCACCATCTGATGCGCAGGGCAAATAGTTAACTAGCTGCTATAGTTGGGTGTGTTTTTGGAGAAAAAAAGCCCATATCTCAAGAAAGTCATCATCCCCCAGAATATTTACCCTTTTCTAATATCACTTTGATTTAGTTTGGTCCTTAAAGAGCTCACTTGTGTGTTGCCTCAGAGGCCCTTGAGGTCATTATATTGACATGAGCTACCTGACCTTTGAGTGAGGCTGCTGTGGCTTTTGTTATGGCGGATGCTGTGTGCGTATGGCGCGTGTGCTGTGAATCTAATCAACTCCAGGCTGAACTTTCTTTGCCAGCATGTGTCCACGTCTCTCCTCTGTCCTCCTGCTGGACCTTCTTGCAGTCTCCATCTCCCTCCCATCCTGTAGCCGATACTCGTGATAGCAGTTTTCACACAGTGTGTTCACTCTCGTTCACACATACACAGAAGCAACAAAGTGACACCTCCCTATTTCTTCCAAACATACTACAAATTAAGAGCTCAGAGCTTAATTGCTCATCTCACTGTAATTGTGATCACCATTAAAAGCAGCCCTTTAAACTGGTTCCATATCAAAGGCTGAAATCTATATGGCTCGGTTTTCCCTTTCTCGGAAGAATGATGAGTTGGAGCGTAACTGCCTGGAGTGAAAACTGCTGCTGTCTGTAGCTGACTATCATGCTGGGTGTTTGTCTAAACCCTACAACGTAAAATGTGTGTCTTACATTGGTCTTTCCTCCCCTTTGTCCTTTCTCTTTCCCCATCTCCCCCCCCCCTGTTACTTTCTTTCCTTCTTTCTATTTGGTATTTCGTTATTCCATTTTTATGTGTTTTATTCCTTCCAACCTTTCTTGGCCTATCCCTCCTCTTTCTGTGTTATCTTCCTTCTCCCTCTCTCTTTCTTGTTGTTGGCTCAGACCTCAAAGACATTCAGAACAATAAGAATAGATACTTGATAGCCTCAGAGAACCAACGCCCTGGCCATTTCTCCACAGCCCCTATTGGTTCCCTGACAGCCTCGCCGTCTTCTGGCTCGCTGTGCAGCCAGGGGGGCCTTCAGTCAGTCACCAGCATCCAAGAGCGAATCATGTCCACGCCTGGAGGGGAGGAGGCCATTGAAAGACTCAAGGTAAAGCAGACAATGGTGTATGCAGCACTTTTAAAATCACACTCACTGTTTGTTGTTAGGAAAGTTAAAAGTCCCGCAGCCATCTTCCTACTCCGGCCACTTAAAGGTGTATCCCAGATATCTCATTTTATACCCTGGCCCACATACAGATCTTTGATCTTAAGTGGAACTCCTCTTTCTGTTAGTGGAATAAGACATTTACAACTATGTATTTATGTGCTGAGATATGCAATTATAAGAAAAATAAATATAATTTCAACAATATCTAAGTTTTCCTACATAAAGGAGTAATGTAACTGTAGGAAAAGAAGTCTGTCAGCAAAACTCTGGACTTAAATTGTAAGAAATAAATGCGTAAAATAAAAAAATCAAGTTCAGTTACTGCCCAGACTATCCTGTAATTATAAAACAAAGTTTTTCTTAAATCACAGAAAATTTTCTGTTTGAATATCGTTGAGGGACGCCTTTATTAGTAGGGTTGTTTTGGAGCCTTTGCTGGGCCAATTCTGGCCCCTGGACCTTATGTTTGACACCTCTGCTCTAACCAATAGAGGCTTGAAGAAAAAAAAACAAAAACAACCTATTGGTCTTAACTGCTGGTTTCATGGTTAATATGGCAAAAATAATAAAGTAATTGCGGACTTTTTCAATGCCACACGGGACAACAGGCTTGCTTTTAATTGTTAAAAAGTGTATTTTATCCACAGTGTATATAAATATAGAGATGCAGCTTTATTTTTTATGATTTAAATATACAAAATTTATTAGAAGTCAAGAAATTCACAGTAACGTGAAATAAGATAAAAATGGAGAAACTGTAACTTATTCAATATATTTGTTTAACGTTAAGATGTGCTGTTTAATTTTACGCCACATACAGCCTTTATTAAAACCCTGACCTTATATCGGTCGTCACGCAGCTACCGAGCCTTATATGCCTCCCACTCACAGCAGTCTCTCACACTCTGTAGATAGGGTAGCACATAAGATTGCAACATCCACAGCCATGAGGAGCTGCAGTTTCCATGGCAACCGTGGTGCCCGGTCCCGTCTGTCATCCAATGACGTCAAGCACCAACGCAAATACGGTGGAAATCAGACCAAAATAGATTCAGTCTTATCAGCTTTAGGCTTTAATAGTGAGGAACAGCGTTCTCTATCAGTGCTGAAACTATTTTTGGGAATCTAAACGCAAGAAAATAAGTCATAATCACGTTGAATATACAAGTTTATTTTGTGAAGGGAAAGTGTAAACATTACACATAAACATTTGACAGTGATGAGGCAAAGGCAATCTCCCAAATCCAGGTTGGTGCGCTTGTTCCTGCCTCCAATACACTGCTAGTAGTTACTTTTATATTACACAGGCTTTGTTTTTCTCATAATTTCCCCTTTGTTCAGGAATCAGAAAAGATCATTGCTGAGCTCAATGAAACCTGGGAGGAGAAACTGCGAAAGACTGAGGCAATCCGCATGGAGAGGTCAGTACAGGCAGACAGTGTTTGTTCATTTCCATCTTTATTTCCTGAGGGGGAAGGTGTCTGTCCAACGTGTGCATTAAAGTCTTCCTCATTGCATCCTGTCAGTCTTAAAGGGGTGTGCGGTCTGTCTCAACTGTGTGTCAAATGCTCTGATAGCATTGGAAACTTCCCCCGACACACCTCTCAGACGTCACATAGAGGGATGTCTGTCATCCATTATCTGCAATTTGACGTTCACTCCCACCTGATGCTGTGATTGGCCACGTTCCTTCTCATTCTAGCTCTCTGAAGCTTGGTTTGTTTGTTACTCAGCATGTGTGGCTAAATGTGACTATTACCCCCCTTTTTTTGTATAGGATATTCTTGTCTTCTCCCTCTTTGTTGGTCATGATTTATCTATCCCCCTCTCTCTATGAGCACAATTAATTTTCAACACTGTCAAATATCACATCTTAAGAACTGTAACCAAACCTTTAGTTTTCCCCTAGTACTTTACTCTCTATCTCTTCATCCCTCTGTGCTGTCTGTTTTACTTTTCTCTGCCACCTTTTTTTCCATCTCTGCACTAGTTCTGTCCATTTCACTGTCCTCCTTTGTCGTCACACTCCGCTGCACAAACACCCCTCTCAGACATCAACCATGCTACCGTCTGTCCATAGAGTCTAACTGGTGCCATTCTCAGCCGGTTGTCATGCTACAAATCACTTACTCCAACGTTGCACACCATCGGTTCTCATCCTCTTCGAGTTACCAGCACAAACGATCTTTAGTGGGAAAAAAGAAGTGCACACAGTGTATGTTGCAGCAAGAATAAAAGACCAATAACGAATGCTTTCACTGAGTGTACAAATGTTTTTTGGCTGTATTTCAGGGAGGCTTTGCTTGCAGAGATGGGCGTGGCAATCCGTGAAGATGGAGGCACTTTGGGTGTATTCTCTCCTAAAAAGGTATGACAGACTGGGTGGGAGCGCACAGTGTCAACATTCCCACTGGTGGTGAAGCACATCCTTCCTCCATCACTTCGCTTTACCTCACTGTCTTTTTCCATGAGAACCCTTCCTGGTTTTTTTTTTTCTTTATCATTCTGTCTTTCTTTCCACTTCTTATTTGCTTCCTTCACATACTCAGCTTAGCGATGAAGGGCCATTTGACGAGCCTTTTGATTGCTTTGCCACCAAAAAGGTTTGTTTAACCAAATAAGCTGGCAGAACTACATTTCCCGCTTTAGAAATAGCCCCACTTTAGACAGTTTAGTCTTTAATAGACATTTTATGTGCATGATCCAGATCTACACTTTTTCTGCTCATTGTTTTGTACTTTTACTCTGCTGGATCATTTGCAGTCTTATTTTTTTTTCCTGTAGATGCTCTCAGTGCTATCAGATCCTTATGAAATTACAAGCAGTGGCATGTTCCCTTCACTCCATCAAGTAGAGGCAGTGCTATAGTGCAGTGACTTAAAAACTGGTAGATATGTTTATGTTTGTTTGTCAGTAGAGTCATTAATGCCTGAAACAACACACGTCATCACTTCGTGTGTGTGTGTGTGTGTGTGTGTGTGTGTGTCCTTTGTTCACATCCGATTGCCTTCCATAATTTCTTTTCTTTCCTTTCACTCACTGCTCCACGGGTTAGCCTTGCGATCTCTATGCAGACTTTAACGGGGTATTCTCACCTAAAAAGGTTGGTGTTTTGGAGGAATAGCTTGCAGGATCCTTTTTGAAGTAGTTCTGTGAAATATAAGACTCCAGAGTTGTCAGGACAGTGTTGATGTGACCGCTTCTGTCTACATTTGCAGACAGAAGCATTTGTTTGATATGAAAATATCCTAACATTAGGGGCAGTTTCTGCATTTATGAATGTTGATTAAAGCAGCAAAATTCTAGAAATGTTTTTGTGGTAAACTGTATGCCTCATGTGTTTATCTGTAGACCCCACACCTGGTTAACCTGAATGAGGATCCTCTCATGTCTGAGTGTCTGCTCTACTACATCAAAGACGGAATTACAAGGTAACCTAAACCCGAATAATGACCCTGCCGCAGTGGATTTGGAAAGTTCTGGCAACTCTCCCAGGCAAGGTTGTCTGGAAAACTACTGGGTCTTTTTATGATCAGGCTTAAAATCTGCTAATGAATACAATTTGCTTTTGTTTATGTCGCCTCTTTGTCCTGTTGGTACCCTCTATAGACTCTTTCTGTTGAGTCAGTTGTTACATTTCAACTTACAGAAACACTAACTGTACATTTTTGCACAAATGGCTGACAATGCATGTGGATAGCAGTATGCAGTCTCTCAAACTGGCTTCTGTGATTGTTCCAGAGTGGGTCAGGCCGACGCAGAGAGAAGACAGGACATTGTTTTAAGCGGTGCTCATATCAAAGAAGAACACTGCTACTTCCGCAGCGAAAGGAATGCAAACGGAGATGGTGAGACATAATACTGGCTGCTGGTGTTTGGAGGTGTTTGTATTGAATGTGTGCTAAATTAAGTTGAGCAAGATGTTTATAGTGTGATTTTAAAAACACCTAAACACATACAAACGAAACCTTTTTTTTTGAACGGATGAAATGAGTATATAAATATATAGACTACATCTAATGGGTGACGTATTTGTGGGTTTGTTTTCTTTTTGGTTTTTTTGTTTGTTTGTTTTTTTCGAATGGTGATGAGTCATTCATGATGATTGATTTGCGATTGGTTTGTTTTTGCTAAAGTTATTGTCATGCTGGTGCCCTGCGAGGGATCAGAGACCTACGTCAACGGCAAGCGTGTTGAGGACTCGATCCAGCTTCGTTCAGGTATGTGTGTAGAAAGTTTTCTATACAAACTGTGAACATTTGTGTGATGTCTGTAAGCAGATATGATGTAACTAATTTCCTAATGCCCAAATTATGAAATGTATTTATGACCTGTAGCGTTTAAGAAATTTTTTTCATGCTTGTGCTGCCTTCTCTAAGGCAATCGCATCATTATGGGAAAGAACCACGTGTTCCGGTTCAACCACCCAGAGCAGGCCAGAGCTGAAAGGGAGAAGACGCCATCGGCCGAAACCCCCGTGGAGCCCGTTGATTGGACATTTGCTCAGAGAGAACTCCTGGAGAAACAGGGCATTGACATGAAGCAGGAAATGGAGAAAAGGTATGCAATCTATGACGTTCATTTATTTTAAATATGCGAGTAGTTGTGTGGCATTAAATGTGGATTGTTTGATGTGTTTCAAAACTTTTATTTTACTCTGCTGTGTAGACTCACTGAGATGGAAATCTTGTACAAAAAAGAGAAGGAAGAAGCCGATCAGCTTCTGGAGCAGCAGCGACTGGTGAGTTCAAATAAGCCCCTTTTGTGAATTTAAAGAACTCACTCTGTTTTTTGTTATCAAAGATGTTTTAAACCAGTTAGTAATAAGTGCAGAGTGGGTGTAAAAGGAGCTGTAATGTCAGTTCTTCCTTTTGTTAAAGTTAATAAAATCGCTACTAGAAGCAGCCTATTGAGTGAACGTGTTAGTTTGGGATATTTTGTGTGTGATTTTTGATGTACTTCAGGCTATCTCTCGTGGATTTCAAAGTAAAAGTATCTCCAAAACTACGATCAGTTACAATTTGACAGCTTGTTTCTTTGGATGGTGGTTTCATTTGGTCCTTTTAAATCTCACTAGTACTAATTCTCACTCCGAGCTCTGACACTTTGAGATGTTTATGTGTGAATCACACTTTTACTCCTAGCGCATGTCTGTTCTTTTTGCATGGAAGTCTTTCTGGTTTGAGACGGATAAGCTTTTACTGGCTGTCCTCTTGTGTTCAACAATTTATTTATTTTTTTCTGTAGCAGCTTGATTGAGCAAGAATTAGACTGTAAAGCTTTCCCCTTTCCAAACCCCTGTTTTCCCCTTTCTTGTGTCTTCTTTAGTGGATCTGAATCTTGCAAAACAGCAACTTGCAGCTAAAATTGATTTGATATGAAGATCAAATTTCCTTTAAAACCGATTCAGCATTTATCAGCATCGAAAAACATGTTAAAAAGTGACGCTGCTTTTGCATGGTTCATTTTAATAGCATGTTTCCTTAACTCATTCAGTACTGGTTGTGGACTAAGTTGCAGTGTTTGCCGGAGCTGGTCAACTCTGAAGTGGCTGTTGATTTGCTTGGATTAGATTTCTACTCTAGTTTTCTTACTCTGTTTTGTCCTGAGTTTCATCTCTTCAATGCAGTTGCTGATATGTACAATGCATTGTGATAACAACAATTTCTGCTGTAGTTTTTGACAGATAGTGACAATGTGGTTTCTCATTGACTTCTTTGGCATCTGTGAGGGCACGACTGAACAACAGTTACCACTGCTCACAGTTAACTCAGTGAATCACGGGGCCTCGTTCACATCCTGGTGGTTTTATATGTGCAGAATTACACACAGAGGGTTCAGACTCCCAGGGACATAACATGTCCAATTCTTCCCAAAGATACGTACAGTCTCATACACACAATCGAAATGATCTCTACTGGTTGTGATCTGTAATGTATGCTGTCTCCAAAAAATGAGAAACTGCATTTTTTTTTTTCCTCCAACTAACAACTTTCTTGTAGTGGATTAACACTTATCCGCACTTCTGCATCTCCTCTCTCTACTGGCTTTCTGATCAACTGCAAGAACACTGTCTGCTAACATACCACTAATACTAAAGCCACTCAAACCTTCTGGACTAAAGGGGGAAAGCTCCAGAATTCATCTACATGCATGCTGCTGTAGCATGTTTGGGATCCAGCTCACAAAATTTTCCACTAAGAAGAGGAATATCACAAAACAGTACAGATGTGCTCCAATCAGCAACTATCATCTATTGATATTTTCTTTCTAATCATGATAGACATGCTTTACCTTTAATATCAATATGCAACACTGGGAACAATAAGGTCCAAAAAGGACACATCCATTTCAGACATATAAAAAGTTTTAGCGAGTGTTGTGTTGAACATGAATTTATATCCATAGCGCCGTTTCGGTGGAGAAGTTAGAGAGGGAAAACTGACAAGAAAGTCAATGGAAGCCACTGTTTCTGTGAATTAATTTTTCCCGTTTCTATAGCTTTATTTTCAGCGTAACTTTAAAAATAATCTTGCATGTTGCCATACATCTTGTATAATAATGATGTATGCAAAGTGTTTCTGATATTAGTGTAATTGTCACTTTTGGTTAAAAATCCAGAATTTGGAAATGCTGTCTGCGCTTAAGACAGAACTTAATCTTCTGATATAACCTTGACTCGTGGTTGGTGTTCCCTTGTTGCATATTTATATGTTCATTTTTCTTTTTTTCTTTTTTAAAAGCCATCTTTTCATCCTCTCCCTGATTTCCCATTGTAATTTCTCCTTTTTTTGGGGGGGGACCCATCTGGGTTGTGTCCTGTGTTGTTTTCTTAAGGATGGAGACTCTGATAGTGGGGATGACTCAGATAAGAGGTCTTGCGAAGAGAGCTGGAGACTGATCACTTCCCTGAGGGAAAAGCTACCTCCCAGCAAGCTCCAAACCATAGTGAAAAAGTGTGGATTACCCAGCAGTGGGAAAAGAAGAGAGCCAGTGAAAATGTACCAGATCCCTCAGCGGCGCCGCATCACCAAGGACTCTAAGTGGGTCACCATCTCTGACCTGAAGATCCAGGCGGTCAAAGAAATCTGCTACGAAGTGGCGCTCAATGACTTCCGTCACACACGGCAGGAAATCGAGGCTTTGGCTATTGTAAAGATGAAGGAGCTTTGCGCTAGCTATGGCAAGAAGGACCCCAACGAGCGGGACTCGTGGAGGGCGGTGGCTCGGGATGTTTGGGACACTGTAGGGGTTGGTGACGAGCGCATTGAGGATGTCATGACCAATGGGTCTCGACCCGGAGGAGTTGTTATGGACGAACTAAAAGTGCACATTGATAAACTCGAGGACATCCTGCAGGAGGTGAAGAAACAGAATAACATGAAGGATGAGGAGATCCGCGCCCTCAGGAATAAGATGGTTAAAATGGAAAAGGTCCTACCGCTCATAACCCCAGAGGGCCAAGAAAAGCCTCCCAGTGTAGGTCCCTCTACTTGTGAAGCAAGAACTCCAAGCCCTCAGGAAGGAAAACTACCTGTGCCTGAAAAGCCTGACGAAGAAGATGCAGATTCACTAACAGGCCAAAGTATGGCAGATGATTCAACGCTAAAGCGAGGCCACATGCGCTGGATGCGTCAAGAGCAGCTGCGCCTCAAGAATCTACAGCAACAAGAGATCTCCAAGCAGCTCCGCCGGCATCCCGGGCCTCATCGCTTTATACCACCAGAAGACCGTAAATTACGTTTCCCCTTCAAAAGTAATCCAAAGCACCGTAACTCGTGGAGCCCGGGTACTCATATCATAATTACAGATGAGCAGGTTATAGAGTTAAAGGTGCCCAAAGAAGCTGTACAGGAAGAGGAGGCAGAAAGCCTAGCTGGAGAAGATGTACAGTGTAGCGATAAGATGGATAAGATGGCTGCTTCAGTTATCCAAGTCTCTCCAGCGCTGCAAAGCCCATCAGTTCAGCGCAGAAGCAAGGACTCAGACCAAGGTTTAAACCAGGGTCACAGGCATAACTATAGGAACAACCAACATCAGCAGCTGCACGAACGAGGCCGCAGCAACTCCTTTAATCACCGTCAGCGTCCCTCGGGCTCCATGGAGTCACTGCAGCAGTCTGAAAGCAACAGGAGGTATACGCAGGCTTTCTACCAGCCCCGCCACTATCAGAACCAGCCAGCACATCCCCAGCCTCACCACCACCAACAGCCATGCCACTATAACGGCGCGATGTATGCCGATGGCGGCTTCAATGGTTACCAGCATTACCATCACACTGACCATCCTAACCATCCAGTCAACTTTCAGCCACCTCCACGAATGCGCAGGCAAATGTCTGCTCCTAACCTAAAAGCCAGCAGAGAGACGACGGTCTGAGTGGGACTTGAGGAGCGAGGAACTAGATTGACAGACTTTTAGTAGGCAAACACATTACAGATCACAACAGCTCTGACAAAAAGTGACTGTGACTATTGCACTAGATCGGTGTTACTGGTTGATCCAAGTATTGTATGTATTATATATAAATATATATATAAAAAAAAAAGACATTTTATCACCATCAGTATCATCATATGACATTTTTATCATTTGTTTTGTGCATCGTGTGCATTGTCATCACTGTCACTGGGATTCAAAGGATTCAAAGCCAACAGATAATTTTTTTTTAACATGTCACGCCTACTCTTCATTTATCAGCATGTGTGACAAGTTGATGAATCACACTTTGATTTGCCAAATTACTTTCACGGTCGAATTTCTGAGTTTACATTATTGCCATTTTAGTATTGATGAAAGTAGAGTGTTGTGTTTTTTTGTTTTTTTTAAATGGCCACTGTGACATGAACATAGTGACGTGTCCAATACGCATTTTTGTTGGTGCCCACTTTAGGAACAGAACACACCCAGTGTTTTATCTACGTACTGTTAAGCTGCACGGTAGGATGGGAGAATCAGTTGTCTTTGGCACGATCATGTTTACCTCAAAGCATTTTGTTACAACGCATCATTGGCCTAGATCTGGAATCAAAAGACCACTTGAGGAATAACTTGAAGCACCAGTCAATCGTGTGCCTTTTAAACAGACTGACGTATAAAGAAAGTGTTTTTTTTTTTTTAAGTGCCTTTTTAGATGCTCTAACTCTATTAATCCTGCTCTGCCTTTGCAATTCAGTATTTTCTTTGCCTTCCTTTTAATTCAGTGCCTACGGACAGGTTTGCAGATTAATTTTGTAAAGGAAGCTTCATACCTTACCTAACCAAAACTAACTTTTTATCAATAACATACTGACTTATACATTTTTTTTTAGTAATCATCTTATTTGCTTGATTACAAACTTTTTCCTGTCTTTCTTTTTACTTTACAGTTTAACCAAAAACAAAAAAAAACTTCAAATATGTAGCTACCAACTACTTACATGACAGTGTTTTGCACTTCCTCACTTCACGGATAAGCTGCATAATTTGTTATTGACTGCACTAATTTTTAAAGATACTAAGTTCTTTTAAAAATATGTTTTAAAAGCAGACCAAGTCCAAAAAAGGTTTTAAAACATGTCCATGAGTTTTGGAGTTCACTAAAGACAAGAACCACTACGCTGAAAAGCACAGAGAGCACCCTCGATTGTACGTGAATGCAAATTGTATCCATTTCAAAGTTTCACTGAATAGTTTCCCATTTTCTTCCTGTATGAAGCACTCAGTCTGGTTAAAATTACATTTTAGGTTTGTGGCTCATTGAGTAAGCACAGAGTTCACTGTGTTTCAGATGGATGCCCTACAGAGTGTTGTCAAGGTTCCCAAAGACTCGCCCTAAAAATGTTGGAAGCAGGACAAAGACTTGAAATGTTTGCATAATGGTATTCAGGAGAAATGTCCATATCAAATTAGATTTTTGGGTTTTTTTAAGGACTGCCTTGTTTTTAGCTGCATATTCACACAACCAAGACAGATATGGGTGTGATGGTCTGTGAAATCTGTTGCCCATGTTAATAACTTCAGTAGTCTGTATCAGTGTTTTTGCCTCTGTGCTTTAGCGTGTGCGTATTTGCCTACCTTTTTAATCGGCCTGTTGTCTGCTGCATTTTTAGCTTTAAAAGAACCCCCATTAATTATTAACATTAGATATCAGATGGCCTTCAAATTATTTCAGACAAACAGCGACATTCACAGCAGGATGGGCGAGACCTTTGAGGACTATCATATTGTTAAGCCTGGGATTTGAATTTATTTTCTTTTTAATGCTCTTAAGTTTTGACGGTATAAATTCTGCCTTACTATGCTGTAACAAAAAAACCAAATGACATGACATATTCAGCCAGCCTTCCCCTCATATGTTTGACTATCTTTGCATGGAGTAGCATACATTTCCTCAGCCCTGATGAATCTATTAAAAGAAAGTTGTTTAACATAAGCTCTGGTGCAGATGGTGACCGGGTAAGCTGGACAGTGTACAGCATCAAATGAACCACCGTGTGTACAGCTCTGAAATCAGCATTTATAAGTATGCTAGGTCTGAGTGTCGTACATCTTGTGTTTTTTGAACCTACAACCACATAAAGTGCCTCATTGTGGCTGTGTACCGAGTTGTGTTGCTCCTTGATAGAGCACATTAACATTGAACAGTATTGTTCACTGGTTTTCATAAAGGATATACCACAACTATGTGTTTTATTGTCAAGGTATGAATGAAATGAAATAAAATGACATGATCCATGTGCAGTTGTTTGTTACATATTGCTGGTGTTTGTTTTCCACTACCACTAAACCTAAATAAGAGTAGAATCTGCATGTAGGCAGCGTGCAGGGTTAATAATTTGCAACAGTCAGGTTAAAGGTGCTTAAAGTGTCCTTCTAATAAACTCTGTAGCTTCGAGTTGATCGGTGAAACTTTCATGCTGGATTTCCACGGGCTCCTTAAACGAGGAGACGTCAGCTTGCTGGTAGGAGTTCAGCAGACAAATGAAAAGGCTGCATTGTCTTCTCAGAAGACTGTGAACAAACAGGATGAGGTCATTGGGAACACAGCCTGTCCTGATGATGATGATGATGGCGCCCCTCATTGGATTACAGTTGACTCAGCTTCTACCAGCACCTCTCTGCTTCCACTCATGCCACTGCTCTCAGATGCTTTTTTTTCCTCATTGATCAATATAGAAAGTATTCCAGTTTATGCTCTTACATACTTACAAAGAAGATGGTTTCTCCTTTGTTGTACTGGTGAAGAGCTGAGCGATCCACATAATTAGAACTTTATTGAACCTCTTTAGTCCTGGATTTAATAATATCTTAGTTTCATGGACAGTAAAAATATATATTTTTTCCTTTGTAATGATGCATGAATTGCTTATGTGCAACATATTTATCTAGAAATTCACAATATAAGGGTAGGGCTCACAATCTAATAACTATAAACCAGTTTAATGCTATTACACATCCAGAAGCGCGCATCATTTGGCTTCATAATCAGTCTTCAGTGCTCGTTTTTCACAAATAAAACCCTCGTTGGGTTGGCGTCACCTGTTGTTGCGGCTGATGGACAGTTTTCCACGTTCTCTCTCCTCTTCCCTGTGTTGGTGTCCAGGTTTACGAGAGCAAATTGCAGGAGCTTCAGAAACAGGTGGAGACTCGCTCACTGGTAGCTGAGACACCCGATGAAGAAGAGTTGGAGGAGGAGGAGGAAGAGGAAGGTGTGTAGTATGCGTTTTCAGACCTGAAGATGATTGTTTTTCCTGTACACACTACATGTAATGCTAAAATATAATATATAGATATATGTGTGGGTGAGTGCGTCTGTGTTTATTTTTATATAAATGTATAAATGAACTGTGTCTGTTTTCTTCCACACTTTGTGTCCAGAGCCTAAACTCCTTGGATGTGCGTATAGTATTTACATATCCATAATATCACTTTCATTCAGATTCAAGTATTTTAATAGTGCCACATTAATTACCCATTGAAGGTATTAACAGAAAACTAGCTCAAAACTAGTACATCCTCTAGTCCATGCAAAATAAAACATACTACTAATGGTATATGTTGTTTTACATAAATTTATTTATTACTTTTACTAAACCTCTGTTTAACCAAAAAATCCATTGAGATTTTTTTTTTTCTTTTTCAAGGGAGACCAGGTCAGAAATGCTCATCATTATGAAGTCTAAAGGACCATACTTATTCAGCCCAGTGATGACAGATGTCATTAAATCACTGCTTCAGGTTTCAGAGCATGCCTCTGTGCTGGTTTCCATCATTTTAAGTCTGGATGAAAGACTGGTAATAACCAGCGATGGGTCATTAATTAATTTAGTCTTAATCTCATCCATCTTGGTGCCACATTATGAAACCTAATGTGAATACAGGCTCTGTCTGTTTAAAGGGGTTCTATTTATTGTGACAAAACCAAACCTTTATGCTCAGGTTGTAGTTTCATACAAGAAACCTCTTAGTTTTGGTTCTTGACGCATACGTTTGTAAGTTTCATGCTTTTCTGGAACTTTTTTCATTAATTCTGTTTGAGGGCCTCAAAAGGAAACTGTTGATACTGCAGTCAGTGCCTACAAGTAATGTTACCTTTAAAGTAAAGTTGACAAAATGCTAGAACTGAGAGATCCTCTTGAATTTCAAGCATTAATGCTAAGTAGGATAGATCTGTGGCTGGGCTAAATCAAAGCTATGGTCCTTTTGGGTTTTATGATTATTTGATTTGTAAGGTTTAATAACTGCTGTATTTATCTTGATAACGCCCCCTCTGTCTTTTGTATCCGCACAGTGCCGTGGACTCAGCATGAGTTTGAGCTGGCTCAGTGGGCCTTCAGGAAGTGGAGGTACCATCAGTTCACCTCCCTTCGAGATCAGCTGTGGGGAAATGCCGTCTACCTAAAAGAGGCTAACGCCATCAGTGTGGAACTGAAGAAGAAAGTAAGTGAATTGCTATTTCTCTTTATTTACCTTGAAGTGAATCACCCTCATAGCAATAATCTGTCATTTTCTACGTATTTCACTGACACCTAAACACAAACCCACATGACACACCCTCAGGCCTGGGAGAGTGTCACAAGGGAAGCGCCTGATGATGTTAATGGGTCAGAGGATCTTAGACTTAAAGGTTGCTGCATAAAATATTTTCCATATAATAATGACTTACAGGTTCCTAGCATTATTTTAGGGGTTTGCAGAGTGTGCTTAGATAACTTAGTGTTAAAATAAAATATTATCATCCTTACACTATACGCTGTTTCCCCGCCTCTTTTTCAGCTCTGTAAAAAGAAAAGTTCCATTTTAGCTCCTTATTTATTTAAAGCCCTCCTCTCAAGAAGCCCCGTTTATATAATACAGCTTCATCAAGATGGGAACAGCCATCTGAGAGCTGTCGGCTGGCAATAAAGCCCACAAAGAGGATAGACTCGTTCAGTACAAAATGTTTTCATGCAGCGGTGTTGACATTTCAGAAATTACTTGTATTGTGATCATAGACTTTTCTTATGCATCCCCTTCCCTCTACAGTTTCGTTGTACATGTTCAATGACAATAAAAGGCTATTCTATTCTATTTGTCTATTTTATATGTTTGTTGGCTTAGCATTGCATTTCCCACACAGGTCTGTTGTGTTTGGCTAGTGCTAATTGTGGCCACATTAGCGTGCAGCATGCTAACACAAAATTAAAAGTGATTGCAGGCCTTCAGTTTTTTTAGATACTGGAAGTTCTTGCAGCCAGCAGTAGACCATTCTGGCGTTCTTTGGATGTGATTGATACATTTTAAAGAACCAGCAAAAAATAAAAAAAAATGGCGGCACCCTCCTTGTTAAAGAAGGTGTCGCCTCACTGTAAGAAGGTTCCTGCTTTTGATCTTACCTGGACACCCAAGTTTGTGCATGCGACAGCTCGAGAACGATGCAGAGTAGCAGTTTCAAATTGATAACATTGGTGTATCTGCTAAAAGTCTCGGCCGAGTTTGAATCTCAGTGACATCGGCCTCAAGGTTAGAGATGTGGCTTTTACTTTAAAGCACTTTAAATGGTTACTAAGATAACAAAGCTGTATATCAATGCCATTCCATTACTATGCATGTATATGTGTCTAAGCAAAGGTTCTCTGGATCGTCTGCAGGTTGTGCAAAACGCTGCAACTAGGCTGTTGATAAAATCCTCCAAGTATTCACATGTGACACCATTGCTATTTCAGCTACACTGGCTTCCTGTTGAATTTGGAGTACATTTTAAGATCCTGGTCTTGACATTTAGAGCCTTGGATGGACTGTCACCGATCTACATCTCCGATCTGCTACAGCCCTATGTCCCTAGCAGGTCCCTGAGGTCATCTTATCAGGGCTTACTTGCTATAAAACAGACTAAGATGAGAACTAAGGGTGACAGAGCTTTTGCCACTGTGGCCCTGAGACTGTGGAACTCTCTCCCTCATACATTAAGAACTGTGGACTCGGTAGTTGTTTTTAAAAAACAACTCAAAACTCACCTTTTTAAAACTGTTTTTGGTAAAATTTCTGTTTATATTGTCTGTTTTACCCTTTTATTATTTGTTATCTTATGTGCAGCACTTTGTGATTCTGTCTAGAAAGGTGCTATATAAATAAAATATTATTATTATTATTATTATTATTTCAAGGTCACACAGATATTTATTTTTTTATGTTCCTGTCAAAACTCCTTTAAATAAAACTGATGCCTGGTTTACCTCCCTTATCCGGGATAAAAGTGTGATTTAAATGCGTGTCCACTTCTAGGCCCTCTGTGATTAATACCAGTAATGAGTCATCTGTCACATTTCCAGGCCATTTTCATCATAAGCTGACAGGATTTTATCTTGGGTTTCTATCTGTGTGTGATTTATATCGAATGTTATTAATTGCTTTAGTGTTTTGTGTCCAGAAGATGCCGAGATCAAAAGGGCATGAAGAGGAAGGGAGTGGAGGGGTGTTCATCTGATCTTTCAGCTTCACGATATCAACCAACCTTCGAACATTTACTTACCTGAAGATATAAACAGTCCCTTGTATTCGTCCTTTCCCATCATTCATCAGGTCCAGTTCCAGTTTGTCTTGCTGACAGACACACCATACTCGCCACTGCCCCCTGAGCTCCTTCCCCCAGAGCCAGAGAAAGATCGTGACCCGAGACCTTTCCCTCGCACCGTGGTCGCTGTAGAGGTTCAAGACCTGAAGAATGGAGCCACGCACTACTGGTCCCTTGAAAAACTCAAGTAATGCTTCCACTTTTCCTTCTTAAACTATTCCTGAGTTTATTTACAACACAAACATTTAAATCCTGAAGCTCCAATTGAGACACGTTTGACACATAATTGGGTTTTTTTGTTGTTGTTGTTGTTGGGTTTTTTTTTTTCAAATTGGTTGTTCTTAAAATGCTGTTAAACAGGTGTACCTAATAAACTGGTATCTATCACTGAAAGACCATTCTCAACAATAATAATGATAATAATAATAATAAAAGCCCTAACTTCAGATTTTAACTGTAATTTTAGAGTAACTAACCTGTATAAGAAATAATTTACCAAAAGATATTTTAAGTATTTTAAACTTTCTTTTTCCTTTTTTTGTTTGTATCTATCTGCTTTTGTGCAAATTTATTTATTTTTTGTGTGCCTCTTCTCATATTTTCTGTACCAGGACTGCAAAAAAGACACAAAGAGCTATGATATCAGCGTCTGTACACCCAGCAGTCTCTGCCTTCTGACTTTTAGGAGCTCTATCTTTCTCATCGCTCTTCCATTAAAATGACTCGCTTGTCATTCGCAGGCAGAGGCTGGACCAGATGAGAGCGATGTACGACCGCGCTGGAGAAATGGCCTCCACGCACCAGGAGGATTGTGAGGGCACTTTGACAGGAAACGACCCCTTCTATGACCGTTTCCACTGGTTCAAACTCGTGGGGAGGTATGTAACGCAGAACCAACAGAAGCGCACGGTGCATCACGTTCACTCGTGTTCCACTTCTCACTTTCATCTTCTGCCATTGAAGTTACATGCACCAGCGTTTTCACACATTTGGGCCTCGTGTTTTATGATTTATGTCTGTTGGTGTTTTGCTCCTCGCAGAAATCCTTCATTTTTATTTTTTTGTTGTTGATTTTATTTTCCCATATGATTTCATGTCACATATGAACTTTCCTTTTTGTATTTATTATTTTATTTGATGTCACATTTTAATCCTGTGTTGTTTTTTTGTAGTTTTTTTTTTTTATTTTATCCTGTGTATCATTTTGCTGTGTCTGTTCTCACATGTCACTCCCATGTTGATATCCGCCTGTAATTCATACAAACACTTGTTAATAGCATTGTGGATTTTGGATAATGTGGAAATTTGAGCCATTTTTGTATTCTATCCTCTTTTCATTCAGCGTGTGTGAGACGATTTGTATGTTAATCCTTTAAAGTGACGTTTCATTTTGGTTTAAAATAGTCATGTTTCTGTAAACCGCTGTCACACTGTTGGCTTAATACCTGCTGCCTATGAATTGAATCCTACAAATTTATTTGCATTAACTCTTCACATTATTCTGTGTGGCTGATAATCGTTTACATTACCTACTGGAGAAAGTGTCCAGCTATGTGTTTTATGTTGTTTGAGGAAGGAAATGTTTGTTTCTGAAAGTGAAGTGTCACATCGATGCCGTGCTCACTGAGCTGTTTTAACTCTATTGCTCCACTCTTACCCATCCTTGGTTCTCGCCACTCTTCCCAAACTACCGCCCCCATCAGCTCCCCCATCTTCCACGGTTGCGTCAATGAGCACCTGGCTGACCGCACACCCTCTCCTACTTTCTCCACCACCGACTCGGAGATCACGGAGATGGCGGACGAGCGCCAGAGCGAGATGTCTGACTTGATCGACGATGAGGCGTTCGTGGACGACACGAGCTCAGACGCCGGCACCGAGGAGGGCTCGGACATCTTCAGCGATGGCCAGGACCCCTTCTACGACCGCTCCCCCTGGTTCATCCTGGTGGGAAGGTTGGTGACCGTGGCGTTCACATACAGGCTGGGGCAGGAGTTTGGAGCTGATGTTGGCTTGGTTTATTTTTTATTTGCGTGTATGCAGATACAGAGCAAAGAGAAACCAGTGAAGAAAATAGGAAAAACTGAGGATGTACTGGATTACGCCCTGTGACGGTGCAGAAATAGATTTTGGATAGTTGATAGTTTCGCATCGAGCAGCAGTGCAGTGAATAGATGTAAAGGGACAAAATGCACCAACATTATTATTAAAGATCAGGAGCTTAAAATGTGAGTAAACACATGTGCGCAAATGACTTCCAGTTCGAGATAATTTGGGCACTTTTTCGATGTAATATGCTTAGTCACACTTTTAATTTAGACTTAATTTAGAGTCCCACAAAAAAAGCCGCCATCTTTATCCATCCTCCCAGCGTGATGTCTCATTCCCCGCCACCATCACAGTGCTGACTTCATTAACTGCCATCTGTGTTCGAAATACATGTATTTGCTGTGTGAAAGCTGATTGGCTATTTGTCATCTTATGTTGTTGTTTTTTTTTAATCCTCTAAATCTTTTTTTTCCTCTTTATATCTTTTATTTATTACATTGTGATTACATCATTATGTTCTTATAACCTTGTCTGCTTTAACAGTGTACATGTGATGGATTGTAGTTCATATTAACTGACCAGTAGTTGGTAGTTGTCACTCAATCAGGCTCACTGGGATTTGTTTTAATTCATTGTTGTGAAATGCTGCAGCAGCTCACGTTGCACCCATGCCGCAGCCTCAGTGCTGTAAACATAATGGCTACTTTAAAAAAAACAAAAAAAACGACTCTCCCGCCTCAGAAGAAGACAGATCGGTGCAGCCAGACTGAGCTGAACTAAGCTCGGCTAACCTGCGTCACTGTGACTTCAGAGAATTTACAGATTCATATCTTTCCTCCATCTTAGCCTCGAGTCTCCCTGCACTGGGACAGCAGACAGTTAAAAAAAAGAGTAGGCCGTCAGAGGTTCAGCAAAACAAATCAAGTCCCACAAAACAAACTGACAGTGAGTGCGTGAGTAAGAGACTAACACGGCCATAACGCAGCACAATAAACCACCCTGTTACAGGCTTTACCGCCGCAGCCCCGGCGATCCGTCACCACCCTGTCACGCAGTTTAAAAATAAAACAGATGGTTTGAGCTGCTGCAGATTTCAGCGCCCCGGAGCATGTTTGAGTTTATATTCCCCCCCTTGTTTTTTTTTCTTGGGTCCTTATTTATTTATTTATTTTGCTTCTCCTCACATAAATGTCACTAATATTTTGCAGTATGTTATTGTAATTATTAATATGTGCTAAACACTCAAAGCGACTGTGCGCAGGGTGTTTGAATTGCTGTCAGTCTGTATATGTTTTGTAGAGATGTCAGAAAACCATCTGTGACACTGCTCAGATCTCCTTTGGGATCCAACAGATATCAGCAGTTTAGTGAAAGCCACCGTGAATCGGATGTTGACGTTTTCTGTATCTGAAAAATGCCGCAGCTGTTTCCAGACTGCACCGCGCTCAGGTTTTCATATCTCTCTCCTCCTTTTTACTCTCAGAGCTTTTGTGTACCTGAGTAACCTGCTGTACCCTGTACCTCTGGTTCACCGTGTTGCCGTAGTAACGGAGAAGGGCGAGGTGCGTGGCTTCCTGCGCGTGGGGGTCCAGGCTATAGCTGGTGAGTAATTAATGAGATTCTTTAGTGAGTGAGCCTACTGGGGGAGATAAAAGCACGCTTATTGCTCTTTATTAAATATGAGCGCCCCTGTATTTGGGCCATATGAAGTTTTCAATTTTTAGGCTATTTAAATGGTAAATTTAACTGCTTTAATGTTCAGTAGCAGCATGGCAGCATATTGAAGAGCCTTTTTTTAAGTCACTGATACAGTGGCAAAGAAAAGATTCCTTAGATTCAGTGTATTCCTTTTGATCCGTGTTGACAGTTTAAGTCATCTGTGTCTGAGATAGATCCTGATTAGAGGAGGGCTTTTCTCTTTGTAGCTGACGAGGAAGCTCCAGACTACGGGTCAGGAGTGAGGCAGTCGGGAACCGCCAAGATTTCCTTTGATGATGAATACTTCAAAAAGGTAAACCTGGAGCAGCACCTTGTCTGTGATGGCGTGTATTATTGTGGTTCAAACATCAAGTCATTGCTGTTCCTTATTTTTTATTATATTCCTATGTATTCAAGTCAAATAAAATGGCTAGCCTTAAATGGCCAATGCCTCACACTATAGCTAGGTTTGGAGATTCAGTGTCGCTCCTCCAGCTATATGCTAATGTCTTCCTCTGTTTCAATCAGAATGACTTCCCCTCCAAGGTCATAACCCGCTCCGGGTTGTCCCTGGAAGAGCTGCGCATCGTAGAGGGTCAGGGTCAGAGTTCAGAGGTCATCACACCCTCAGAGGAGCTCAACAGAATCAATGACATGGGTAAGGCTGCCAGGCTTTCACCTCTTTACTCGTAAATTTCCACCTATGAGCCCCAGTGTTAAGCGCAGATGGTCCTGTTTAATGAAAAAGGAGGACTTAAAATGTTTTGTTATGGAAATTTGGCAGTTTTCTTGTCCTGTGAAGGAACGTGTATGAAAGCTATTTGATGAGTGAACAGCAGAATCCTCTCTATAAATTACATGCGTGAATGTGTGCTTGTTTAGAAGTCAAATGGAGACGGCAGAGTCACAGGTGCAGGCAAGGGTCTTTTTTTTTTTTTAAACAAGTCATCCAACAAGCCTACTAACCTTTCACTGTGGCTTTCTTTAGACCTCAAGCTGGGTAACATTGGAGAAACCAAACTAAGTCATGGGGATGATCTGGCAAGCCACTTGGAGGTGGGCAGCGTCTTTACCTTCCGTGTCACTGTGCTCCAGGCCAGCGGCATCCTGCCTGAGTATGCTGACATCTTCTGCCAATTCAAGTGAGTGCACGATCCTGAGAATACAGTAGTTGAGTCGGCTTTCCTTTACACTTCTAAAGGGTTTCTAAATGTCTTTCAAAGTTTTTTCTACATCCTTTTCAGTCCAGTCATTGTACTTGAGGTACATGAGAAAAACACCAACTTTAAAATGTATGTTTAAGCACTTTGAGGCAGTGGTGTGGGAGATCTTGTCAACACTAATTAAATTAAGAATGCAAAAAAGTACCATCAGATTTCGATCCACCGCAAAAACACACAAAGGAGCATTATCAGTCATGGATTTGGCCTCAACAGACCCCAGAACCTTAATGACGCAGTGTGGGATCATCTAAAGGCAACATCCAACGAAGAGCTTTGAATGTCCTTTAAGAAGTCTGGAAAACTACTTAAAGAAATGAAGAGAATGCTTGCCTAAGAGTTCAGGCTGTGTCGAAGAATAAAGGTGGTCATGCCAAATACTGACTTTAAAGAACATTAGAATTGTACAAACTCTGTTTCTTATATACCAAATTTCCATCTATGTTTGCATGTTTCAATAAACTGCTGCACCCGTTTCCCATTTTATTGGGGAAAAACCTAAACAAGGGAAGACTTTTGCACAGTAGTTCATATTTGTTTGAAGCAGACGGGTTAAGTGGAAAATGCAGTGCTGTAAAATCAGCTTTTTAACTAAAGTATGGTGTTATCGCTGTAAATTTACACCAAACTGTTTTGGTTTAAAAGTCGTTTGATTTGAGTTCAGCGTTTCAGCTTTATCTCTAAATATATACTCAGAACGAGGATTCAAAATTCTAGCTAAATCCTGGAGTGTGACTTTCAGCTGTCTGTCGTTATCTCGAGTAAAAAGAAATGCAACCCGCTGACATTCATTTATGTTTCTTCCCTCAGTTTCTTGCACCGTCACGATGAGGCTTTTTCCACCGAGCCTCTGAAAAACACTGGCAAAGGAGCTCCTCTGGGCTTTTACCACGTCCAGAATGTGAGCGCACACACACATCTGCACCTACACACTAACTGTGCTTCAACAATTTTATTCCAACTCAGTTTGTCAAACCCTTTTTCTTTTTTTTTTTTATCTGTTGGAGCAGATTTCTGTCGAAGTTACAGAGTCTTTTATTGAGTACATCAAGAGCAAGCCCGTCGTGTTTGAAGTGTTCGGCCACTACCAGCAGCACCCGCTGCACCTCCATGGCCAGGACCTGATCAGGTTGGTGGGGGTCAAACAGCAGATCCAGTCATGCAGTGATAATTCATATTTAATGCAGCAGATTTTGTTAGAAGTGGGTAAACGATTGTATTCTACCGTAATCACATTGTCTATTTTTATATGCATATGTAAATAAAAGGTATTTTTATTATGTCAACAGTCCTCCAACACCATCCAGGAAATACTATCCTATTCCCATGCCTCTGTCCAAACCAGGTGAGTGTTTCCATGTCACATCAATGTGTTCTTTGCCATCAATAATTTTATGTTGATTTTTTTTCTTACATAAGCATGCCTCATGTGTCCTTCCACTTTTTTTCCTTGTCATTTCTCGCCTCCTTTGGATTTTTTTCTTTTTGTCTCTTATTCAATCATTCCCTCACAATTTATATAATCCTCTTACCCAACTCTGTCCTCCTTCCTCTTCTTTTGCCCTTCAATCTCTCTCACCGTTCATCAATATCGCACATCCAGACCATACCCGTAAGATAGAGTTGATCCGCTACCTCGTGAGCGGCTATGTGAACGGCAAAGTGCTGGACACGCTGTCCGAGCACGCCAACTCCCTGGCGTCCTCTGCTCTGGCCAGTCTGGAGGACGAGGCTGACCAGCTCTCTCACTTCCCCTTCCTCCCAGTGGCCAGTGACCCTGTGCTAACTGTCCCCAAGCATCATGGTTGGTACAGTGGACTCTGTTGTAGCTAATGAGCCAGACATTTGATGCTGGTGCTGTAGTGATTAGAGTAGTGCTGTGCTCTTATAGTGCTCTGTGGCTGCAGGCGGTAGCACGGTAAAGCTCTGCTGTGGTTATGAGTGCTGCACCTTGCTGCAGGTGCGGTTAGTTTGGTCACGATGTCCTCCTGTTGCTTAGAAACTGTCCTGAGGAGACAACTTCAGGGTCAATGACATATCATTCACACCATATAAGGAGTAAATACAGCAGTTTTCAAGTGTAATAACATTCCTTTCGATCATATTGAGCATAGACGAATGCAACTGTGAGCTTTAGCGATTAGCCCGTTTCAACAGGACCGTAATCCCGATGTGTGAGACAGCAGGGTGCTGCCACTGGTGTTGTAATCTGTGGTTTACTTCCTCCTAACATTTCAGTATGCTTCCAGTATCTATCCTCTGTGATTACTGGCTCAGTATAAATAGTCAGCAGTGTTTTCACATCACCTATCCATCCTCCATTTAGTCACCCAAAGCATGTAGTAAATACTCCTGACTTTTATTCATCTTCTCTGAAATTCAGACAAATTCCCGCTTGATAACATTGAGCTTCTGTCTGTGTGTGCCAGTTCCAGCCACCAAGTTGAACACCATCACCAAATCCAACCTGGGTCATTGTGTCAGCAAGTACGACCTGCTGGTCTGGTTTGAGATCAGCGAGCTGGAGCCCACTGGAGAGTGAGTATCCACCTGGAGTGTTATATTCCCACACAAGCTTTAAAGAAACAATAAAAATTATCTCCACAAAGAATATTATAAATTGGGATGTTGTGTGACCTTCCTCCCTCCATGCACAGGTACATCCCAGCCATCGTGGATCACAGTGGAGGCCTGCCCTGCCACGGTACCTACCTGCTGCACCAGGTACAGGATTGATCCACATGTTCTTTTCTTATTACTCACACAGTGGTAACTGCTTCCTTTGTACACAGTTGAATATCTTCTTTTAAAGCGTAATGTTGCTCTAGCTGTGCTCACTGTGATCCTGAGCTCCTGTTATGTTTGCTGCAGGGGATCCAGCGGAGGATCACAGTGACCCTCATCCACGAGAAGGGCAGCGAGCTCCATTGGAAAGATGTTCGTGAGCTGGTTGTAGGTGAGCAGCCTACCTTTAGGGTCTAGTCGTGCTATACCTCTCTGTAGAAAACAAGAGAGGAAGACAGGACAGAACATCATTAAAGGGATTTGACTTTGTGAGATCACACTGAAAACACACCACTCGGTTCTGTCTGAGACATTTTCAGTCTGGAAAGATGAATCTGTCGGGCTTTAGGCTGCTTCTCACTTTAAGCAGTTCATGCTGTAGCTGTAGCTGATGGACCAAATAATTACATTTCATATTTTAGACATTCAGCTGCTGACTCTGAAGCCAACAGGGCTCTTGAGTGTGGATGATTGTGTTGGTACTAGATGCTGTGATAAAACAGCTGTTAGTGGACAAACTGCCTGCTGGCTGAGCTTCTCTATTGAGAGCTATTCCAACACAAGAAGGTCTTATAACTGTTGTGTGGATCTGCCTCACCAGGTCGTATCAGGAACAAGGCTGAAGTGGATGATAGCGCAGCCGATGCTGTCCTGTCCCTTAACATAATTTCTGCCAAGAACATCAAGTCATCCCACAACAACAACAGGTAGGTGAAACTCCCACACCGAGTCAGTTTGAGTGAGAACACACTAGTCACAACATTTGAAGGTGTAAAATGTTTCCATTCACAGATCTTTGAAGCTTTCTTGTTGCCTTCTTCCTTGTGTTCTCTTCAGTTATTATCATGAAACACATTTATTTTTCTTAAAAAAAAGCCAATGTGTTACATTGTTACACTGTGTTCTTTTGTCATGATTGAGTTCCTGCCATGTAAAAAAATCATTCGTTGACGCTCTGTAGTAACTGTAGTAACCTTATCAGTTAAAATCTATGCATGTATCCATGTCTGTATATTCTCTGAAGCCACATTGGAGTCATTGCACGACCTTTTCCATTTTCGCTGCTGTTACTTTGCTTCATTGTCTCTGTTGCCTGACTCTTTGTGCTTCTCTCTCTCTCTTTTTTTTTTCTGTGCGCTCTCTTTCTTCCTCCTGCCGCGGCTGGACTCATGATTGTGCTCAGGCTTTCTATTGATAAGGATATTGATAGGTACCAGCGACCAGAGAACATAAGGCTCCTTCACTGAAAGACCTTTATGCTTCTCATTAGTCCCATAGACTCGTAGAAATAAGCTCTCCACAGTTTGTGTGTGCTTGTGTGTTGCATAAGATCTGTCTTCATTCATGCCTGTTGATATTAAGCCTCCTAAGCTCCAAACCGGTAAAAGCAGTCTTTGGAGGCAACACCGTTTTTTAGTACTTTTCTGTATTTGTTTGTGATTGTGTGACACTGAACCACGGTGCTATGTATATCCTCTGTAACACTCAGACGTTTCCAGATCAATGTTTTCCCCCTCAGCTGTTTCTCACTATAGAGTCTTACCTCAGTAACAATGAGGCCAATGAGGCACCAGCAGAGCATAACTGGCTCTCAGTCTGTCTGATAGTGCCCCCTGCTGTCAATAACAGGAACAGCGTAGCCTTGTATAGAGCTCATAGTGATGGTCTTAAGATTGCTGCTGCAAGGCAGTAATTTGTATCCACTTGTGCTGTATGTTCTGAGCATATGCAGTTATGTGAGCTCTCAGGTTTTATGTATCAGGACATAATTTAAAAACAATCAGGTCCTTAGTAGGTCTTAATATGAGGTAAACCTCACATGTACAACAATACATAACACATTATACCACGTCATTATTTATTTAACAAACACTGAGCCTAAATTCAGATGTGGTGAGTACATCCAAGCCTTCTTTCATAATTATTTAACAGGGTCAGTATTAGCCAGGTGCTAATTAAATGCACTAGATCATCAGTAACCACGACTGTCAGTTTGCTGGCGTATTCAGGAGAGTGGTGACATACTGAGGAGGAAAGAAGCAATTGTTGTTACCCATGAATCTGGGAAGGCTTTGAAGTCGATCATTTTACAGCAAGGAAGATTATTCACAAGTTTAAAAAAAGATCAAAGACTGTTTCCAATCATCCCAGGAGTGGACATCCCAAAAAATTCACCACAGATATTTGAGGCTCTACAGGCCACAGTTAGCATGCTAAATGTTGGAGTTCATGGCAGTGCAATTAGAAAAAAGCTCAACAAATATGTTTGGAAAGGCTTCCAGGAGAAACCCTTTTCTCTCTAAATACAACATGGCAGCATGGGTTCAGTTTGCAGAGTTGAAAACCTAAGCCCTAATGCACAGCTTCAACATTGGTGAAAACCAAACACAGCATATCAGCACAAACACCTCGTACCAGTGGTTTTGCACGGGTGATGATTATTTGGGCAAAGTGTCCAGGTCACTGAGTGAGCCATGAAGTATTCTAGAGTCAAATGAGATCATCGTTGGGTCAGTGACTCCAGAGCGCAGCAGCAAAGCTACAACAGAGTGGTGCTGCAGTGGCTCAAAGTCCAGACTTCAATATGATTGACGTGCTGTGGCGGGACGTTAAGAAAGCTGTGCATTAATACATTTCTGCAAACTTCAATGAACCGAAGCAATATTGTAAAGACAAGTGGGTCAGAAATACCTCCACACTGCTGTGGGACACTAATAAAAAATGATTACCTCAAGTTTTTGCTGTTAAATTTGGTTCCATCAGCTGCTGAATCACAGGATGTACCTGGTTATAGTCATTTGTGCATTTTGGCATGGTTTTAAATAAATAATGATGTGGTGTAATAATCTAGATCTAGAACCTTAGACTGCTTTTTCACATGTCTGTAAATGATTATCATTGTCCCGATTGGTGTCGGCTGACACTTGACACTCTGTGGCTCCTGATTTGTCTGTTGTCAAGGTCTCACCTCAGTGTGATTCCTCACGTTTTGTCATGATTAAAGGATGAATGTGAACACCGCTTCAGTCACTGTGTTCACTTCCTGATATGTCAGAACTGTGCTCACGTTTTTTTAATAACATGACACACTGCTGTACACAGAGACCCTGTAGTGTTAGCACCAAGTAGGACTTCATAAAAAATAATGCTGTCAAGCTAACTTTTCCTCTGTCTGTCTTTTTCAGGACTTTCTATCGCTTTGAGGCAGTGTGGGACAGCTCCCTGCACAACTCCCTCCTGCTCAACCGCGTCACTCCCTATGGAGAGAAGATCTACATGACCTTATCTGCGTATCTGGAGGTCAGCCGCTGCTCCAGTGTGTTGCACCTGTTTGTACGTGTTTTTAAGTCTCTTGATGTCATCGTGTCTAACTCACACCCTTTATCTCCTCTCTACAGCTGGACCATTGCATCCAGCCTGCCATTATCACCAAAGACATCTGCATGGTCTTTTACTCCCGAGATGCCAAGATTTCCCCACCCCGTTCTCTCAAGAACCTCTTTGGGACTGGATACTCCAAAACTCCTGACTGGTAAATCTGGGCTGCTGCACTGTGGCCGTCTCTGTTTCACAATCAAAGAGATCTGCCCTGTTACAAAGTTTCCTTCTGCTTCATTATAGCAACCGAGTGACTGGGATCTACGAGCTGAGCTTGTGTAAGATGTCTGACACTGGAAGCCCAGGTGAGCGGACATGAAACATGTTTAAAGAACGGCAGCTGTTTTATCATAATTCTGCGGAGAGCTTCATCCTAATGAGGGCTCATGTTCTGAGCAGGGATGCAGAGGAGGAGGAGGAAGGTCCTGGACACATCAGTGGCTTACGTGCGTGGAGAGGAGAACCTGGCCGGCTGGAGGCCCAGAGGAGATAGCCTCATCCTAGAGCACCAGTGGGAGCTAGAGAAGATGGAGCAGCTGCAGGAGGTGGGGCCTTAAAACATTTATAAAGAAATAAATCTCTGTTTAATATCGTAGAGGGAAAAAAGACTTTTCAACTCAAAGACCAAAGTGCTATTCTAAAAAGTTTTTTCTTCGAGTACACACTTTACATGACTAACGCTCCCCTCCCCTCTTATCCCCACCTCACATTCGCCCCCATCTTTCATCCAGGTGGAAAAGACCCGTCACCTTCTGGCGCTGAGAGAGAAACTGGGAGAGGCGGCTCCCGTAGGAACAGCTCCCACCACCAAGTCCCTGAGCGAGTCTCTGTCCCCCAGCATGAGCTCCGGCACCCTGTCCACGTCCACCTCCATCTCCTCTCAGATCTCCAGCACCACCTTTGAAAGCGCCATCACGCCGAGCGAGAGCAGCGGCTACGATTCCGCCGACATCGAGAGCCTGGTGGATCGTGAGAAGGAGCTGGCCACCAAGGTGAGAAAAACGTGGGCTTAGTGGGCGTTCTTGTTGCTGCCTTCTTCCTTCTCTGCTCGGAGCTGATCGGTCTTGTTCCTGTTGTGTTGTAGTGCCTGCGCCTTCTGACACACACCTTCAATAGTGAATACAACCAACTGGTGAACAGCATCAGTGACTGCAAGGTGAGAAATAAGAAGTAAAAAAAAATGCCTTTTTGTGTCACATCATTGAGTTGATATATTAACGTCTACCTCATCCTGCTGTTGTTTCACTTCAGCTTTCTGACATCTCACCGATCGGACGTGATCCATCCGTGACGAGCTTCAGTAGTGCCACCCTCACCCCTTCCTCTACCTGCCCCTCTCTGTCGGACTCCCGCTGTGGCTCCATGGACCAGAAGTAAACACATTTTTAGGAACATTGACCTCGATCTGCAAACAGTTATTGACAGGTCATCTATTTGATTCTAACTTGGTGTGATTTGTGTTAAAGGACCCCTGAGAACAGCTCACGTGCCTCCAGTCCCTCCTGCTCAGACTATGAAAACTTCCCGATGGTTCCCACTCTGGAGACCTCCTACCTTGCGCGGGCTGCAAAGAACGAGTTCCTCAACTTGGTGCCTGATATTGAAGAAATGCGACCAGGGTGAGTAATGCCATATTAACCCAAATACTGTCACTATGAGATGTGTCTCACAGACCAAATGTAAGTCGATACTCATGTTCTCTAATTCAAGCAGAAATGATGTGGATTGATTCAAATTCCTGAACCTGGATGATTTCAGCTGGAAACAAACCAACTCTGCTTCTTCCTCAGAAAACAAGGAAGAAGCAATAAATAAATGAATAAAATCTCTTCTTTTCAGATCTGTTGTGTCCAAGAAGGGTTTTCTAAGCTTCATGGAGCCTCGCTCTAACTCATGGGTGAAGCATTTTGTGGTTGTTCGCCGGCCCTACGTCTTCATCTACAACAGCGACAAGGACCCCGTGGAGCGAGGCGTCCTCAACCTCTCCACAGCACAGGTGGAATACAGCGAAGACCAGCAGGCCATGCTTAAGGTAAGGCTGGATGTAACACGCTTTTCTTTAATGAGAATTTATTCAAATTATTTTGGTGCACGTTGTTCAGTTTTGGACACATTTGCTGAAATGGCAAATGCACTGGGATTTATCATTTGAATGAACATGAGTATAATGTGATGTTTTCTTTTCAGACGCCCAACACATTTGCAGTGTGCACAAAACATCGAGGCATCCTCCTGCAGGCCAACAACGAGAAAGACATGAACGACTGGCTGTACGCTTTTAATCCTCTGCTAGCAGGAACGATAAGGTACACACACACAGACACACACACTCCTCTCACACCACAGTCAAACGTGCAGCTTCTGCACCCTTCAAAAACATTCCCTCCTCCTCACAACGGAAAACTCTCCCCGCAGATCTAAGCTGGCGAGGCGGCGCAGCGGCCTGATGAAGAACTGAGCGGGCGGAGCGGGAAAACCACCGCTTCCATCCTTTCTGAAAAGCCTTTGAAAATACCAAGTGTTAAAACTTATTAATCATTGTGATTCTTGACGGTTTTCTCTTGTAAGTAGACTTGTGGCTTAAGTCTCTTTTCATGCGACTAAAACGTTTAAGTTCCACAGAACTTTTGCCTCCCCGCCTCCCTCCAGCAACCCCGCTGCCAACTCAGCTTTCCTCCTCTCTATTCCCTCCCCTCAGCTTTTTGTGTTTTTGTTTCGATGACAATGTTTGGGTCTAATTTTGTTCCGCTTCGTTGTCATTCCCAAACTCCCCTAACTAAGTAGCATGTTGTAGTAGTCTACTTGTGTGTGCACGACTCTTTAGAAACTTTCCGTTTGCCAATCATCTGTACAAAAAAAATGTCTCTATCAGTGTTATTTGTCTCCTGAAATGAGTTTCATTCTATTTTGGGGTTTTTTTGTTGTTGGTTTTTTATTAAATTAAAAATGCTTGCATGATACCTGCAGCAGTCCTCAGGAGAAGACCAGGTTTGCTCAGTTTAAAACAAAATTAACCAAATCAGCCAGCTTACATTTGAAACCATGAAGGAAAAATCTACAGATCTCTCCAAGTGACGTGTTAGTTTACGCTCTGCTACCTAAACTATAGCTGCTAATAGATTTATAGGCTATTTTTCTTCTCGCAGTGAGATTTGCATCAGGCTGAACCGTCTCTGAAACAAAAACTCAAAGTGGGAATGAAATTTGACAGGAGGGCCACGCCCGATTTCCTCTGTCATCCACGTCATACTTAGATCCTCCTCAATCTGTGTACATACGCCGCCTCTAAACCCCCGATAGTGCCAGTGTCAGTTAGTGAGTCAGTAAAATACTCATGCATTTGTGTTAACATAAAAACTGCAGACTAACTAGAGACAAACAAGCGAGGATCGCTTCATATCTCAGCAGTTTAAAAAAACAAACAATGACCGATTGTTCCTGCAGGAGTAGATTCAGGCCCCTTTTTGCTTTTTCATCCCAAGGAATAAAAACAGGGTTACAAGGAGAGGAGGAGGAGGACTAGGAGGATGAAAACGAACTAGAGGGAGAACTTGATTTGTACATGCGGTCTGTTCTGGGATCAGTGTGGTAGTTAACCCTCATTTAACACATTCCTCTCTGCTCCTCTAGCTCGCTCTATCTCACTGAGAATCAGAAAGCCTTGACATTTACTGCTATTAACTTTACACTCTTGTTATAAAGATGCAAAGAAAACACGGTGGAAAGTTTAGGACGAAGTAAGGAAAAAGAATGAAGGTGCAATGTTTCTTTAGTTTTTTTGCTTTGACGGCAGTGGTTAGCCAGCAAAGCTGCTTTTAAATGGCCCGCAGGACAGATTACGATGTAGTCCCATGACTCCCCTCGCTGTCACACCAGCGTCGGCTGAAATCTCTGAAGTGAAGTACTCGTGTTCAGCAGCACCACAGGGAACCATGTGTTCATTTTTCTATTCTTATTCTTGAATCAAAACCTCATCTAACTCTCATTGTGTTCATATTTTTATTTTATTTTAACTTTTTTTTTTCTTACGCTTTTAATCATTCCACAATGAAGGTTTTTATGAAATGTAACGGAGGGCATTTATTTCTTAATTTCTTTTAACCTTATTTTGCACATTAACACATATCTATAGCAAGGACAGAGACACAGCCACATATGTTGAGTCCAGGATTGTATTTGATCATCAGGAACAAATGATAAGAGCACATATCAGGAGTACACTGGATAGCTGTTTCTCAAAGGGTTTAATAGAAGGAAAGAAGTTAAAGGGACTACATATTCAAAGGTCTTATTTCTGATACTACCCTATGAAAATATTTGCTCTGTGTGCCGTGCTGCAGCTGCTACATTCGGCTCCGGATTCACTTTTTGGCACCTACGCCTCTCGAGATGTGTTAATGCAGACAGGCATAAAAAAACTCTGGTCAACCAACCAGCAGTCTGCCTGCTGTGTCGTATGAAATGCGTGGAAGGAGAGCAACCAACTGTCTGTTACATATAGATAAAAAAAAATGAAGCGCTGACGTGACCTCGGGTCAGCCAGCCTGACGGTCAGAGAAACAGAAACGTATGGATTGTGGATCTCTGAGCTGCACATCAAAGATGCACCTATGCACAGATCAAGTCTCGAAAGTGCAATGTACCTCATATACATGTTGATGCGAAGCGCTGCCAGAGCAAACGTTTTCACTTCATTTTGCAGAGGTGTTTTTATTTTGGATTGTGTATTTATTGTTTGCAATGTATATATATTAGTTTGCAGCTCTTTGCACATATTAATAAAAGGTTCAACTAACTGATCGAATAAAGTCTGTGCGGTTTAGTTGTTCCACTCATATTAAACCAAATGATGGTGTGGCGGCCTGTTCTAGTGTGAACTGGGAGAGGGTTTGAATGTAAGAGAGAGGGGGAAAAGGAAAAGGAGACCTAAAATGTAACCCCTGCACCTCGACTGAGGAGGTGAGTTACATTAGTGCTTCCTGTTTATTAGAAAGCGGTTTGAGTGAATTAGAAGTCTGTTGGGTTTTTGGGGTTTTTTTTGAGGATATCTACTCATTAGTCATACTAGGCATCCATCTGAACTCTATCAAAATAAAGGTGTATTTTAACTCATTTTTATTTTTTCTAATATCAGGGATATAGGACTATACAAAGTAGCTTGTGACATCTAAAATGACAGCACACTTATTGTGTCTTTCTTCACCTCATCACTTTTTTCTGTGTGTGTGTGTTTGTTTTTCCGTTGATGCCTTTCAAACGAAACTAGCCATGATATTTTCCACCTTCCCCCTCTGACAATTAATATCAGTTAACCCCGCTCCCTTTCAGATTTGTTCACCAAAAGAAAAGGAAAAAGCAAAACAAAAACATCATTAACGCTGTACATTATTTGTCAGACCGGTTTCATTTTCATACTTACTTTGTAAATATCTGTGTTGTATGGAGCTTGAACTAAAATGTAAATATGTTTACTGTATTTGTAATAATTATAATCCATTCGCTGTATAGCATAGATGTGTCATGCAGATATCCTAATTCTGTGTATGGTAATCTTGCACCATTGAACTGTTAGTGAATGAGGCAACAATAAAAGTGCAAAACGTGCATTAGCAGATGAAGTGGCGCCTGCTTATTTCCTGCTTTATGTGAGCTTCTTCTGTAGTTTATGTGCTTTAGTCCCAAGAAACCACCCTTTTACTGTGGCGCACAATAAGATCTTCTGATGTTTGGTGTCATCTTCCTGTGATCTCCTGTGAACAGGTGGATTAATTCACTTAAAGTTTATGTATGTAGCACCAAATCACAGCAGTCGCTGAACACTGTAAAGACTCTAGAATAATTATGGAGGCACAACATTTGAAGCTCCTATCCTTTTATCCCACATACCCAAAAGTTAGTTATATGATAAATAGCCCTGTGTTTGTTTACTTTATTTGTATAATGCAAAGTGGTGATAATGCCCAGGAAGTTGTTACTTCATTATGTCATTTTTTTTCTTTTAAAGTACGTCCTCATATGGCGATAGTTTTTTTTTTTTTTTAATGCCATAAAGCAAGTCATTGTTTACAAAAAATTGTACATTTTATTGGGCAGAATGAGGTAAACAGTGAAGAAAAGTATGAGATACGGAGCATAGGATCTCCTGAGACTATGGCAACTAGAATTATTGTATACATGTTTGTGTATTAAGGACTGACACAGACAAAGAATTAATCATACAGTGAAGCAATGTCATTTTTGTTTATTTATAAACAGGATAAAACCATTCAAGTATTGAGTCATGAATAAAACAGCAACCTCTGGTCTGCTAATTGGGAAACAGAGGATGTCTGTGTATTTTTCAGTGCTAGTTGTCCAAATTGAGTGAGATGACTTTACATTTGAATAGATTTGATTACAAGTTATATTTAGTTTTAATTGAATGCAGTTCAATTTGATTTACATTAAGCCAATTCACAACATATAAACTTGCAATATATGGTAAGATAAAGGTTGTGCAATAATACAGAGAAAGCCCCGACAATCAAATGATCCCCTATGGCGAAGCACTTGGCAACAGTGGGAAGGAAGAACTCCATTTTCGGCAGAACCAGGCTCAGGGAGGGGCACAGTCTGCCTCGACTGGTTGGGGGTGGGGTAAGAAAATGAAACGAAACTCACGTCATCGCCCTGTAAGTAAAAACAAATAGGAGCCAGAACCATCATGCCCTGGCTTACAGCCATGGAGACCCTCTCCCAACACGGCTGCACCCAGTGAACAACAGTGAGACACTACTGACAAATGCAGGCAGTGGTATACATCTACCCTGCTGTCAATCACACACGTTGTCTCCTACTGTCGCCATTCCTGCTGTCGGGACTGGGTCGCCACATCACGCTGACCGGTCAGTCTCCAGTCTCCGCTGCGTGATCGTGGGGGTGCGACCCTTCTTTTCGACTTGGCCTTCCTGCCTTCCTCTTCCCATCTGGGGCCTCTCTGCTTCCACTGCTCAGCTTGCTTCCTTTTCATAAGTCCTATAAACAGCTGATAGGACACCTCTGGACACACCCATGCCTCAGCAAGTGATCACAATGAGCTAATTTCTCCCATGCCCAGCAAATCCACAGTGGATTAAAACAATGTAAAATAACACACTAAAAACATGTGACACAAACAGCATAAAATCATGCAAATAAAAACTACACTTACAAATAAACACTAAAATCAGAATAAAACCAATATAAGAAATAAATACACATTTCTACTGTGTGAAACTTACATGCATCACCAACTGAACCTTTATGTTAACGTTTAAAGCTCCAACTGAACCTCATTTAATTTTGCTTAGCAAAGTACTTTTCAACTCTAATAATTAGTAAGAGTATTTCTTATCATCTTATTATCTTATCTTATCTTCGTTCACAGCACAGGAACACCCACCGACACACTCCGCACACTGGTCCTCAGTTTTTCAGATGCCATTTATTTCCATTATACAGAAGAAAAGACAAACATTTCAAACAAAGACAGCCAAGAGCATCTTTCCTGTGCCAGAATGTGTGAAATATAACTTAACATGAAAAGAATCAATGTCTACTCCATCCATATCCTCTGTCTGTAATGCATTGAGCTAGTTAGCAACAGGAAAATTGACTGAAATTATTAGATTGTGCTGTTGCATAATCTACTAAAAATATATAGGCAATTCTTCTTCTAGAAAACTTGCTGGGCGTGTAATCATTTCAGTATATATACTGAAATCATAAAATTTAGATGTTGTGATAAGAAGGACATTTGCTAATGATTCTTTTAAAAAACAGCTGAAGACATTTTTATTTAGAAAAGCATTTACTTAATTTCCTCTTATGTTGTTTTTATTGTTTTACATTACTGTTACATTGTTTTATATTTCCATTAAGCACTTTGCGATTTTTATCTGTGAAAAGCGCTATATAAATAAATTTTACTTACTTACTTACTAAACAGCTAAAAAAAATGGGCTTATCTTCTGCATTTGTGATTAAAAGATGAAATACACAATGTACTTGTTCAGATTTTCACCAGAGAAAAAGAAAACGGGATTCATTGACTTATAGACACATAGTCTATTGTGGCGCAAGCGCAGCTCTCGGGTCTGACGCATTTGACCGCTGCCAATAGAAACGAGGTGTCCAACTGGGAGACTGACAAGGCAAAATCATCAAGTTAAAATGTTGTTCTTAAACTTACTAGTCAAGACAAGTTTGACTGTCTGGATACTTAAAGAGGAAAATCCATTTCTGAAACAGGTCCCTCATCAAGCAGACGTATGGCGTGCACTGAAGCTTCGTGAGTGACTTCCGGGGAAGCCAACAGGAAAAGCGATAGCTCTGCTCAGAATTCTAGACCAATCAAATTTAGCCTTGGACGTGGCTTGTTTGCAGAAAGCTCTTCGATTGGTTCTTGCTCTACGTGGGCGTACCTAAGAGTCTCAGTCATGTTTAGATGAGAACGAGGAAGTGGAAAACGAGCAAGGAGGAAATCTGAAGGAAAGGACTGGTGTGCGAGCTCGACTGTCATTTTAATACAGTTACCTTACAGTTACTTTGCCCACAGAACACAATGGCTGAGTAAGTCCTTCACTTGTTTCTTCTTCTGTTGTGTCTTTTTTGTACAAAGTCGGGGCAATAGAAAGGTTATACCTACTAGTTGAGGTTCTTTTGTTTTTCTCCTTTGCTGAGAGTAATCTTCTTTAGTAGTTAATGCTAACGGTGCTGTTATCTGACCGGGGTCAGCTTTAGAGTTTGGTAGAAATATGTGTGGTCTGTGCAGCACTGAATTGGGTGATGGTCGCTATGGACTCTGGGAAATTAAAGGGATCTTCGGAGTGAGGACTCTGAAGCCCATGTTTTAATTTACTTGAAATAAAAATACACTGGATGACTTGAGGGATAGTAGACAGAAGGCTGTTTTGATAATTACCCTGAAGCCAGACTATCCGATCTTCTCACCAGTGATGTGATTCTTATTTCCTCAGAGCAGACATTGCACTAATTGGTTTGGCCGTCATGGGCCAGAACCTCATCATGAACATGAATGACCACGGCTTTGTGGTAAGTTGATGCCTCCTGTGTGTGTTGCTGCTACTCCCTGCATAACCTGTTCCACTTTTCTTTCACTCATTCAATATCTTTCCAACAGGTCTGCGCTTACAACCGTACTGTGTCCAAGGTGCATGACTTCCTGCAGAACGAGGCTAAGGGCTCCAAGGTGATTGGAGCAGAATCTCTGGAAGACATGGTGACCAAGCTCAAGAAGCCCAGGAGGATCATCCTGCTGGTCAAGGCTGGACAGGCTGTGGATGACTTCATTGACAAGCTGGTGAGCAGTCAGTCCTGAACTAGGCCAAAGTTTAGAAACTGCATCCAACCTGCATATATTTATTGGGTTTGTACTAAATCTGTTAATTCTCAGGTTCCTCTTCTTGAGGCTGGGGACATCATCATTGATGGTGGCAACTCTGAATACAGAGACACGACAGTAAGTCATAAACATTCACTGTGGAGCAAAACCTCTTTATTTCAGAGTATATCACCATAGCTCATGCACTTCTATCCTATAGCGGCGTTGCAAGAGTCTGAAAGAGAAGGGCCTGCTGTTTGTTGGCAGTGGAGTGAGTGGTGGAGAGGAGGGTGCACGCTATGGACCCTCACTCATGCCTGGTGGGCATAAAGAGGCCTGGTAAGTCGTCAGCTTCATTTCATGTGTGTTAAAAATCAGTGAACATTTATCAATTGCAGAGTGTAACTTAATGTTTATTTTATAGGCCATACATAAAGGACATCTTCCAGAGCATCGCTGCCAAAGTTGGAACAGGAGAGCCTTGTTGTGACTGGGTGAGTGATGTATATTTAATGTTTATTAAATATATATTTGTTTTTATTATTATGCCAAATCATCTAACAAATATTGTGTGGCTTGAGCAGGTTGGCGATGAGGGTGCGGGTCATTTTGTGAAAATGGTCCATAACGGCATTGAGTATGGAGATATGCAGCTGATCTGTGAGGCCTATCACCTGATGAAGGATGTCTTGGGTATGGACCATGATGAGATGGCAAAGGTGCGCTTGTTGTACTTCTATGACACCGCTTTCACATTTGTCTGGCAGTATTAATTATGTAAAATATAAAGACAATTTGTGTTTTTTGATTTTTTGTTTTGTTTTTTAAGGCTTTTGACAGCTGGAACAAGACTGAGCTGGACTCCTTCCTGATTGAGATCACAGCTAACATCCTTAAATACAAAGACTCTGACGGTAAACATCTGCTACCCAAAATCCGCGACAGTGCTGGACAGAAAGGCACAGGGAAGTGGACGGCCATTTCAGCCCTCGAGTACGGGACACCTGTCACACTGATCGGTAAGAGGAAGAAAGGAGGCTTAAAGCAATGAACTACTCATAAAGGCTAGTGTCATGTACCAATACTGCAAAAGCCACTTATCAAATTACCCTTTAATGATCAGATTTCTTGGGCTTATACTTTGGATCTGTCAGCTGACAAACACAGCATTGGCTGTGAGCTTCTTTTAGAGAATGTGATCAATATGTTGTTGCCTGTAAGAAGCTTGAAGGCTATTCTGATGGCCTG